GATTGATGGATTTTTCACGATTTTGCGAAGTTATTTTAGACCGCTCACGGGTCGACAATAATATCGGAATCTTGGATTCTCCTCGTAGAGCAGTACTTTCCTGTAAACACACATTTTGCATATTTTGCAATTAATAAATGTGTATTTTATTAATAATAATATGTTGCATTATAATTTTATGGATACGATATAGTAAAAATAATTTATTATATTGTACTGTATATGTATAATTTATTATATACAGGCTGCTTCTTGTAACCAATGGTACAAACTGGGAGGTAATGATTCTATATGAAAAAAAAATTAATGGAAAATACAGAATACATTTTTTTTTTATTTTTCCTGTATTTTCTATACACTTATAAGAGTCTTACCTTTTCTTTAGCAACTTCATTAACGTTTTTACGATTTCGCGCTTTTTGTTCAAAATTGTTGTCGGAAATCTCCCTGTGATTTTTAGCATCTGTCTCAACAAAATCGTACTGATTTAACGGTGTGTAAGATGATCGCAGTTGCTCTTCTAATCTTAAACTGACGTTTGAGAACACTCCTGGAAAATTAAGTTATCGTTACAAAACATCATCACAAAAGGCGTAATCAAACTAATTAATTAAAATCAGATTCGGGAAAGATCGCATTACCTGCATTTATGTTCCGTCCGTTTGAGCCTTTTATATGATTTTCATTGTCGTCCTGTAACAAAACCGAAAATACTTAAATATGACATCGAGCTTGCGATAAATCGCGGCAATACTCTAACCCTCTGCGCTTCCGACAAAAACATTTCCACTATCCGATATTTAAACGCGACATAATTGTGTTACGAAATTTTGCATCTTGAAGTACTCATGTATGAAAAATTAAATGAAAAATTTAAATAATAACCTATTATCATGACAAATATTTTGTGTCTCCTGCCGCGACGTATATACATACCATCAAAATTGATTCAAGAAACAAACGAACGTATCGCCGTAAAATATTAAAAATACTGAACATTTTATATTTTTTACCACAGGATATTTTTATATCAATGGCCTTATAAAACTTGATAATCTTTATTAAACGTTTGTTGACGACATTAACTGATATGCAAATATAAATTGCGAAGAGATTATGTTATTGAATGACACGCAAAGAGTACAATGTTCCTCTCTCTTCCGTGTTTAAAGCTCCTTATTCAATTCACACTCGACGAGGATTAATTATAAACGGTCGCGTGGAGATATGCAAAATAAAACTCGATGGAAAAGATATATCGCACTTTTCCCCGTTCTTGCTTCTTATTTTTCAAGTGTTTGATATTTCAGTATTTGCATTGCAAAGCTCAATATCCCGACGAATAATGACATCGGGAAAAAAATTGGCATATGTATGTGAACACTGTATGTATCGAGAAATCGATAGCAAAGTAATACCGTTGATGCCAAAAGTCATAAATAATCTATTTTCATCAATCTGTTATAATCTATTAGCATCAATCTACATACTCTTTAGGCAATGCGTAAAGAGGTCTGCATATTGTAGAACTCCCTTGCGATATAAAATCGCATTAATTGTTTATATATAATTGTTTATTTATAATTGTTTAAAGAGTTAATTTATAAAATCGTCAATATTTTACAAATATAGTTGCAACATATATCTATCACTTATTGCTATTTTTTTCTGTTATTAATATATATCCATCTTTATAAAGGCAAAAAATATTTTTGTGTGAGGGAACCATAAAATGGAAGATGTATGGAGAGATAAAATGGAAAATGTAGGTCATCTTACGTTAGTTTGCGAAGGCAATATTTGCCAGGCGGTCGATTGTTCGGTCTTAGATTGCAGACCGACACCAAGCGCGACGAGATTGGGTCTTTCCATCCACGAGCTTTCGCGGTTGTTCGTGCTTTCGTTCCTAAAAGAAACAATGCGAGATTTCAGCGATTTTACACGGATATATACTTTCACATTAATTGAATATCTCCATGAATGATCCTTTGAATTATTACCGGGATGCTCTTCCTTGTGCCGATCTAGATGTGGCAATAATCTGGCCTCTAGTACGACCAGTGCCAGGTGAGACCGAGCCACTTCCCGCCACGATCCAATCGACATCGGGACCTGTTGTAAGAAAATCGAGGCTAAATGTACGTTTAAGTTGTCAATTAAGAATTCTGTTCTTTTGATCAAACGCGTTTCCACATTTTTGTGCTTGAAACAAAATTAATGTATTCTCACCTCACAGAAAGAGGGAGAAAGAAAAAGATAACATATGTAGTTTAAAAAATAAGCTTTACGATAGTGTGCAGATAATCACGTAATATCAAACTTCGCGTTTTACGTAGAAATGTCACGCGATCAAATATGAGACTGAGCTTCAAAACGTTTATTAAAAATTCAAGTACTACATGGTTTTTTTCACATACGTAATTGTAAGAAAAATGAATATGAAATACTAATTAAAATACATAATTAAATAATTCGTTATAACTTTATTTTATCTACACGCATTACGCTTCTCTCGTTTGTTCCCGGTTATTATTACCAGTAGCGATCTGAACAGTCGGTGAAATTTGCAAACCGTACACCACAAGGCCATCGGCCGACACCAGGGGCAGCGACTTCCTGGCCAGCCGTGCTCTGACGGCGGCCAGCATTGCCTCGGCATCGGCGTGTCCGTCGGCCGCTCGTCTTCCTGCCTCGAGAACTTTCTACGGACATCAATAAACCGCGCTGTTAAATAAAATCCCTCCAAGTGGATAATTTCGCGTGCTTGAAATTAAAAGTTAAAAATAAAGCTTAAAAAACTATAATTTAAAAATAAGATTAAAACTTAAAGCTAAAATTATTGAAATAACCTTGCAGCACACGATAAAAACTGCTTAGCATTTAGAAAAAAATAAAGGCAAGTGAATATTAATATTATAGAATACAGAATTTTGTTTTCTTAAATATAAACTGGTTCCAGAAGCATTTTCCTACATGCAATGCCAAGTTACAGTACTGGGTTTATACTATTCGTAAGATTTCGCAAAAGTTTCTCCACTTTTTGAAGGAATTAATCTCATCTTCACGATACCTCGGAATCGTAGATCTGTCCCAAAACGGCTAAAGCATCGAGAGCGGCTTGGCGTACTCTGCGTCGACGATCCGCGACCATCGCGGCCACTCGGTTAGCCACGGTCTCCAGCTTGAACTCGGTGCTCGGGAATGTCACCAGCGAGAAGATCAGCAGTTGCAGCGCATTCTCTCTCGTCTGCGAAGAATAATTGATTTTAGCTAAAATAAATTTGCGAATAATCTAAAGTACGCGAATTACGTTAAAAGGACTTACTTTGGCGTTTCTAGCGCTTAGACAATGAGGCTGCAAAAATTGCTCCAGAAGGAGGCTGGGTTTTAGTCTGAGCATCGCGATCCTGGTGAGCTGCGCCGCAGCTGGACCACCCTGTCTGGCAAGGCCCCAAGCCAACTGGGGCAATCTCTTTCTTAGCGCATCTTCCGAGACACCGGCGACTACAATCTGAAATCGAAACGATGTTTAAGAATGCTGCACGTGCCGTAAATCGGTAACTGTGAAATATAGTTAGTGTTTGACGTTATGCTGCGTCATAAGCCTATGACATTACGAAAGAATTGTAGAATATATTCTCCTTCTGTCGCATTAAAAGTGTCTTCTACACAACTTATGATAAAAAGATATACATGTCACATAGGTGTCCTTGCAACTTTTGTGCTTAAGAATTGAAAATGTTTCTAGGATTGAATACGGATATCCGATAATATAAGCTCTATTCAGGAATCTCTTATGCGCGGTATTGAAAAAAAATATTTTGAAATTTTTCTGCTAATCTTAAAAATATTTTTAAATATTCGAAAATGCGATATTTAAAAATATTGAAATCCTTGCGAGATCTTTCTCTATCGGAGATATACTTTTCCGTTTGTCGTGCAATACATATATTACACAATAACGAGGCTCGGTGTTATCCGCTGACAATTACCTCCTCTTGGCAAATTAGCCGAGATCTCAGCGCATTTAAGGGTTGATCTTGACGAAAGTTACTTACCTTCGCCACCGCGAAGCCGGCGGCGGCCACCCGGCAGCTCCTTTCGCCGCCGAGCACCGCATGCAAGAGCGATCCTAATCGCGACTCTATCGCGATTAGCGCCGAGGAGGTCCGCAAAGCCGACGCTACTCTCTCCAAGCCTCTCACGCGTGCCCGCCAATCGTCCTGAAAGAATGACAACGGATAATGAGAGGATATCGGACGATTAAAATCCTTGTGATGCATAAACTTGTAATTTTTATTTTATTGTATCTTCTATATTTTTATATTTTGTTTAAAATATTATTTATAATATAGTAAATATAATTTATAGACACATAAAGAGATTCTTGCTGAAAGGGAAAAGCTATTAGTTTAGGAACTTGAGAAAATTTATAAAAAAATTTATTTTTTCGATAAATAAGTAAAAGATGAATTTTTCCGATCATTTTATAATAGCCAACATTATATTTTCTACCTGCACTCGTCTCGCATGCAAATCTCCTAATTACATGTAATAAAAATATAAGCCGCATTTGCCTTGCTTGTTTTTCTTGGAATTAACTAGTCAAATACCTGAATCGTTAAAAAGCTAGGTGAATTATAGTCGCGTGATTCATCTTTAATTACGTACATATTGATTTCTGTTGATCATGCTTGAATAATTTCTATGCTGCACTTGTCTCTGTTAAGGAATAAATAAAATTGCAATATTTAAGAAGACTCCTTATTCAAGAAATCCAATTACACGGGAGCGAATGAGCAGTGTCGCTAGAAATTCACGAGTCGACATTATTGATCGTCAAGGCGAGACCAAATGCAATGCACCGGTTGGTGCATCTGCATTCTCACCGCGTGTTTCTATCGAGCTCTATAACCGCGGAATCGATACCAGGCTTAGCATCATTTTTCTTCTTTTAATATCTCTTACCTTGTGTCGAATAATTTTTTTTTTTTTTTTAATGTTCTCAACCAGCTTCTCTGACGCGCGGTCTTGCACTCGAACGAGACGCAGAAGACGAATAAACGATTGGCGGATTTCGCTATGATGAATCAGAGAACGGCTTGAAAATTGCATTCGGTACAATTGCCGCTGATTTGCATATACACGGGAACGCCACTTTCCTGGACCGAGCGACGTGGCACGCAATACGTGCCTAATTATTTTCTTGCAACTTTTCTCCCTCTTATGCGCTCGGCTGCAATATAATGATTTGCGAGGGAAATCTCTCCCGTCGTTTTTCAACCTCTCTCTCTCTCTCTCTTACTCATCGTGGAATATTCATACTTCGCTTTGGCACGCATAAACTCGACTTTATTCTACGCATAAAAAAAGCGATGTAATAATTTAACGAAGCTTTATTCGTTTTTTTATTTTTTTTCATGTATCAGTTTCAGAAAATAAACGAAGTTCTTGTACATGTTACGCATTTCAGAATTATCGAGCTCTCATTCACTTGAGATTTAATTAAGAAAAATGATGTATCAATGAAACGGCGATATTCTGCCTATTTAATCTTTAGAAAAAAATTTACTTTGACACAAAAAGTTGATACTCGACGCGGAAGATTAGAAGATTACGTCAAACAACAAATAGCGATTTCTATTAAACTTTTATCCAGTACTTTTATACGGAGAACTGACTCTAAAGCAGAGCGCTTCAAGTGCGGGTAGAACTTGCAGGTGACATCGCGAATCAATTATGCAGCGCGATATGATGTATTGCAAAAAGTCAAAGTTGGAAGATACATGTTTCGTTTTCCCAGATACGCAAACGATTTTTTTTCGCAGAAATCGATTGCACGCGCGGAAAGATAATGGTATTTATTTTCATAGACCTCTCGCAGACGAGGCCGAGGTCGCGCGTGCATTCATAAAAAGGTCTAGTGCAGTGACCTTGAAGTTACTCGCTGAATGAACATAAGGCACACCTGTGACAATCGTGACCGTCGCTGGAATGTACGATAGCGGTACATATAGATTAGTATCGCGAGCACGATAGAGATTTAATGGAAATTGATCCGCGTTAGCGTTAAAATCTCTCTTTCGAGCGATAAGTTCGACGTATCAATTTTATTTGAATTATAGGGAAGATATATATATATATATTTATTACTGATTCGCAAGATTTCCGTCAAAGAATAAGATACGGTGTTTAAACAGCTGAACTAACGGAATTAATATGCAGAGAACGATCCGGGTGTCTTCGACCATGACGTTCCCCACTCAAACCTCAGGAGCGGACTTTTATTTATCGACACCGAATTAATTTATTCATTCTTTCTATTTTGTCAAATCATCTTTCATTAAGAAAAAATTATCTCAAAATTAATTCTGTTATTAAAAAGACATCCGACGGTTTTAAGATACTCTGTAAGCGATATTTTATTACAACCGTGGTGATGTATCAGCGATCAGCTCGGGGCCGGTGATACTTTAGATCCATCACCGTCACAATTGGTGAACACGAAACCGGTCAGTCTATCGGTGCGTTGGTAGAAGATGCAGAGAATTTCTTTTCCTTGTGAATTCTAGAGAGAATCCTATCGTTTTACGGTTATAAGTGAAAGATACGCGAAGTGATTATATATTTATTTATTAGGAATTTATTAGGAATTAGGAATAAATTCAAACCGCATCTCGATTATGTCGAGGCAGCAGAGACGTGTGTTTTTTCGATTACTTCAAATCGTCGTTTGTCTTGGCGTTATCTTGTCGACGTTAAAATTGTCTATTATTATTATTGGAGATGAGGATAAACCTCTTCCCGTCGCCGATGAATTAAGAAAGCTGTTGGTGAGTCACACGCTGTATTCTATTAATGATATCAAAATGATGGCAAAATAAAAAAAAATGATAAATAAACAAAATCGATTTCTACTTAAAAAGTGTAACGTAAGTTATACATGTAATCTTGTATTTTTTTAATCTGCTAATAAAAGTATTAGATTTCGTCTTGAAAGTATTAAAAATAAATCTTAAAGACATATAAAATTATATATATAATTTACTTAACATTTTTTAAAAAGAAATTGATCCTTTCATTTTCTCAAATCTTAAGAAAATAATCTCGCGATTTATCTTACAATTAGATCGAAGCTGAAATGGACAACACACGACGATTGTTGAATGTCGAAAGAGTATGCAAAAACTATAATTTAGGCTCCTATCGAAAGCTCGCCGAAGATTCGTTGTTCAAACATCCGCCCGCGCCGCAGTACAGCGTCTTCTATATGGACAGGTTCATTAAGAAAAGAGAATCCTTTGACATCATAAGAAATCGATTAAATCAAGATCAACTTATTGATAAGATTACGCAATTTGCCACGTAGACTACACAATATATCGTATTGCCCGGTGTACAAAGCCGGCACTACGACCTGGCTCTACAATCTCTGCCTATTGATGAATGTGCCCATGGAGACGCTGAATAACGGCAGGGAACAATTGTCGACCATCGCCAGGAGGGCGATACCGGAACTCGAGTACCCCGAGGCGGAACGAGTCTTAAACGCGAGTAGAAGGCTTTTGGTCGTTCGACATCCGTTCGAGAGGCTGTTGAGTGCCTATCGCGACAAACTCGAGAACTCTGTTGCCGGCCGGGAACACGGGACATTGCACTTTTATCGCAAGTACGGAGCCAAGATCGTGAAGAAATATCGCAGTAAGTCACGAGAAAGTAAAAGAGAGAGTAATTTTAATAAATGAAGAAAATATTCGATTCCTCCAATTTTATACAGAATACAGAGAGCGGCGACATATAAATGCCGATGGTTTTTTTTCTCTTAAATCTTTAGGAAACAATTTTACGGAACCACGATCGGATCAGGTGATTCGGCGCGATGACATACCGTCACCAGCCGGTGTGGAGCCGACTTTTCGAGAGTTTGTCGATTACGTGATCGACACCGATCTCGGAAGTTATGGCGACGATCACTGGATGCCATATTATCTCTATTGCACGCCGTGCCTCGTCAAGTACAGCATTATTGCGAATGTGAGTATCGGGACCCGCATTCGAAACCGCTATCTGTTGTCTGTCGCACAATGTTTCGCATTAAATATCTCTTCTAAGATAAAATAAGTGATAAATTTTTTAATAAAAAAAATTTCTCATTTTGTATTAAATATTTTCCGTGAATATGTTATTAATTCTATAGGTGGAATCGTTGTGGCGAGATCAAGTGTACGCGATCAATAAGTTTGGATTACGGGACAAGATCAAGCCCAGATGGAGGCATAGTAACAGTCACGTCAACGCTTCCAAGATATACTTCCGTCAATTAAACAGAGCGACGGTGCGGAAGCTCCATGAAAAGCTGAGACTGGATTTCGAGCTTTTCGATTATTCACCCGATATTTATTACGAGTACGCCACGTCCGCGGATTAATTGTACGTCGATCGAATATAATCGAATGTAATTTTATAATAATGACCCAATGCGCCGCGATGATGTTCGATAGAAAATATTGGTGCAAGAAATAAGTACTTCGTGTACATGAGATTAAAGAAAAAAAAAAGAGCAGAAAAAGATATGTTAAGCGTCTGTGTACGCGCGCACACGTAACCCCGATAATTGATGGAGCTTAAATCACGTTACGTCACGCGACGAACTTTTGTCGACGAAAATCGATCGACCTACTTCTCACCGTGTACTAATATATCGGACCGGCGACCTGTCCTAAAGTCAAGGGTCCTCGAATGAGCATGTTAATCCACGCCGCGAGTGGAAGCGGAGCGTTACCCTGTCTCGACGGAAATGATAACAAACATTTTCTCATAAAGGAGATATCAATGTCTTTGACAAGATACATAAATAAATATACGAGTATCTTATTTCGATTCTTTATGATATATTAAATTATATTTGCACTTTAAATTAATGCGATCAACTCATAGCTCAAAGATTAATTTACGCTAATAAATCGATATGAAGTATTTCGCGTTCTCGCTTTAAGTCGTCAAATTAACTCGATGTATTTATATTATTTGGAAAATTTTATAGAGATTCGAAAATATAGTTTTGGCAATTAAAAAGATCTCAAGAACTATGAAAGACTCATCTCGATATAAAATCGCAAGAGATTTAACTTTCACAGGCGATAAAAAATGCACATTTACTAAAAATCTTTTACAAAAAAACTAACATTATATATAATAAATTCGCACATGCAACACACATATATAAAATATTTTGTGTACTCATTAACCTTGCAATTATCCGGAAATATTTTCGAATCCACTCACCTTATTATGCAAATCATCCAACACCTCTTGACCGACCAATCCAAGTTCCTCCCAGCTAGGTTCTCGCGGTTTACTCTCACCCTCGCTACTGCTGCAAGTGACACTTCCGTTCCCCTCCGACATGCTCTTCCTGTCAAAGCATTGACCGCGTCTCCTTCGTCCTTCGCCGTCGTCGTTCTTCGTCGCACGATCGTCCGTAATCGAGCCGAAAATACGCACATCCTCCCGTTCATCATCGTCGACAAAATCACCGCCGACCAGGCGATCTATTTGCGCTTCGTATTCGCCGTTAACCGGCGATCCGAATGGAAGATCGTTGGAAAAATCGCTAACAAAATTGCTTTCCGATGTTTTCCGAACATCTTTGTTCGAGCGTTCTTTTTCCATTTTGAGATTGTCGTCCTTATTATCTTTGACCGTCTTTGGACCACTCGAATTCGATAATTTAGTCGGCGATGAATTTTTTTCTCGTCGCGAGGTAGTTTCGGAAACGCTCTCGTCAATCATGCCCGCATGATTATCTTCGAGAATCGCTTGTTCTCCTTTCGAGGACACATTCTTCGGTACTGCGATTGCAACTTGAGCTACCTTGGATATGTTATTTTCATCCTTCGCTCGATTATTTTCGTTGTTCTTCATCGGTTTCTCTTCTTTATTTGCCGCGCCTAAAGTTGTCTGATCTAAGGTGTTATCTTCCTTCCTCGATGTCTCGTTAATTTCTTTTAAACTATCGTTTACCTTAAAAGAATCTTTATCCTCTGAAACTGCTTCGCCGTTTCTCTTATCTTTCTTTACTTTCTTAATTTCTTCCGTTACGGGGTCGATAATGAGAGGACCATCCGTTCGTGTGAGAATACTTTTCTTAGGACTCAGTTGCGCGTTGTGCGTATATTCTCTCTTGGGACTGCTGGATGCCGATCTAGAAACCCTCCTCGATCTCCGCTTCTCACCCGCGTGGGGACTGCACGGTTGCGACGAAGGTCGTCTCCGGTTCGTCGTTTCCGGCATTTTGGTGGCCGGCGACACTGGAAGCGGGATCCTCGTCTTAGGTGTTATCTCGATCGATTCTGTCTCGTCGCTGTCGGGTGTCCTCAGCTTGACGATCTCACCGCCGAAGCGGACGCGTCTGGGCGTCTTCCGTTTATTCGGAGAGGATGGATTTTCGCCCTTACCGGTCCCGTCGTCCCCGCTCTCGTTCTCGTCCTTCTCCTCCAGAATCGTCATCGTGATGGCCGTCTCTTCATTGAACTTGATTTCGGTCTCCAAAACGACTCTCGCCGGCGGTATAGCGTTCGATGCCTCGTCCTCTTCCTCGGCAATACCGGAAGTGTCACTATCGCTGTCCCAGGATTTGTTCAAGATACGCTGCTCCTTTATGTCGGCCTTTACGATATCCTGCTCGTGATTTCTCTCTCGCTTCCTCTTGCTCGGTTTGATATTGTAAATCTTTGAAAGAACATCGATGTTCTTCTTCAACTTATCGTCGTAATCAGCTAAATAACTCTCGAATTCTTCGTCGCCGACCTCATTGCGAATCTTCATAAGGGATTTGAGAGCGGCCTCCTGGTGCGGTACCTGAACCAACCGTGCAGCGAAGGCGATCGTGGCGTCTTTGAGGATCTGCATAGTCGGTGGGGGACTGTCAGATGACGGAAAAAGTAGCAACGGTGCGCTCAAAATCACGCCCGTCGTCACATTCGTCTGAAACGGATTGTGAGCATCCGGTCGATTCAAGCCGTCGTGGAGGATCTGTAACAAATATTCCTCGATAACGCGTATTATTAAAAAAAATAAAAAAATCATGGAAACTATGTAATCGCGAAAAAGATCTAAAAATTTGCGTATTTTGAATTTAATTTTTATTTACAAATAGATCATTCTAAAAATCTATTTAACAAATTGAAATTTGAAAGTTTAAAAATATGAGAAATTTAGATTTGTAATAATTGGATATATTAATTTAATTATAATTTAATTGAATATAAAAATTGTAGATGTAAAAATTAGAAAAAATTCTGTTTTAGCGCATTGCGGATATTTACATTTTTGACCACGCTGTCTCTGTTGGGGGTATGAACGAGGTAGACCCGCAGCGCGTCCAAGGCACCCTTCCGTACCGCCGGCGCTGGATGCCCTAAATTATTGATCAGCTCCGGCACCACCGGTTGCATGACCTTGTCAACGGCATCGGCATTCAGAGTTGGTAGAACGTCCATTAGTACCCGCAGAGCATGCTGGCGCACTTCCCATTCCGGGTCTCGAAGTCTCTCGGAGATCTCAACGAAGGTGGCCTGCGTGTCGACCTCGGATGGAAACCTACGCGTACGCACCTGATCGGAAAAACGCGCGTAAATTTGTAGAATCGAGAAAAAAATTTCATATTCTAATTTTTTAAACTAGAAATACAAATATAAAATATATAAAATGAAGTATAACGCTTAGTATATTGTAACAGAGGATAGAGACACGTACTACGTGTTCCCAAAGTGGAGTCAGCTGTATCGTTTGTCCGGACGATGGGGCGGACGTCATCCTACGTCGCAGCTGATGACGATGACGATTGCCTCGGCGGGCCGACGAGCCATTGCCCTCTGACAACGGTCTGAGGTCATAGGTCGACGGCGGCGCGGGATCTTCCTGGGGCTGCAGGGGCCCCGCATCTGTCGATCCTGTCATAGATGATGACAAGCAGCCGGACATATCCTCCTACGTCTCGTCCTTCAGGAACCACCGATTATCCCTCATGATCTCCCGCGATCGCGAATCCGATGACGCCTGATCGCTCATCGATGCTTCCAGTGACATGTGCATAAGTCGCGCATACAAATCACTGCGCCGGAAATTGCATAAAACTCTATGATATTGATATATTCGCTCGTACTCCCGTATAAGTCTTTCCTTTGAACTTTCAAATTAATATTTGCATATATTTTTACCTTTGTGTTATATTAATATATCGCAAAAAAATATCCAAGTTTTAAAACTGAATCGCAGTAATGATGATAATAATAATGCAAGGAAGGAAAAGATAGATCGATTCTTTCTACAAAGTTAATTAACTAGGATTGTAAAGACCGGATATTCTGACATAAGAGTATGCCAATTTAACGATCGACACGTAACGCCAAAGCGGTTCTTATATTCCACCGTGATTCAAAATTGCGGCAAATACAGTTTTGCTCAACGTAATAAAGTTATGAAATTTTGCTACATGATTTATAAACATACACTTCGCAAAAAATATATAAAATTTCTAATTATAAAAATAGTGAATGTTTGCTAAACAAGAATGAAATTAAATGCTCCTTATCGTGTTTGCAGGTATACCAGATTATGACGTCAAAAGAGCGGGAAGCCACATGCTGGCAGAGAAACATGCAAATGCTTACGTCGTGCAAATCGCGTTACGTTTTAATTTAAACATTACGATATTCGATATTATTTGACTGCGAGATGTCAATCTCCTTCCTTCTAAACTGTCTGTTGAACGATTCCATGATTCCTTATCCGCGACAACTTTTTTCCGGTATCGAGAATCGGTGAATGATTGACGTTTGTTTTGCTTCCGGCATATCGAGAAGTGTACGAACGTTGCGCGCGATTGACATTACAAAGACAGCCGTCGCTATCGAAGAAAGGGCCAATCTCGTATATCCGAGAGCGATTACTTTCGAGCTGAGATGCATATTTTACGAACGAATATCTCATAAATAAGAAAGATCAATCAAAACACATCAAGCACACGAGATGTCATTCGTTTCGTATGCGCTCGCTGTATACTCATACTCACGAAAGTATATACTTCGAATAACTGCGAAGTTTATCATTAAATCTCTCACGACACACGAACTTCATATAAAAAAAAGTAGTACACACGAAAAGCGATTTCATAATCCGGGGAAAGAACATGCGTATTTCGTATTTCTTAAAATATTATACATGCGTTGGTCGAAATTGTAGGAGACCAACGGAAGGAGACACGCTTGATAATAATTAAAAAAATCATAAATTTTAATAACGCAAACTTCAATAATAAGTGGACAATTAAAAATAACGAAACATTATTTCTTATTAATATTAATCGAAATGAGATTGTTATATGCGTAACTTGCTATTTTAGTAAATTCACGAGAATCGACAAAACTTTATTTTGCAAGATAACGAACTCTTCGAATCTCAATTTTGATTTCTTTGTGTATGTGATCAAATCGACTACATGATTAATTATTTTCTTTCTATCCTTTCTATCGCTATTCTTAATCATTTAAATTAAGGAATTGAAATTTGGGGAAAACAGGGAGAAATGAGTCTAAAGACTTTGGAAATATTCTTCGATTTCAAAAATTTGTACTTAATTTGAGAAAAATCAATTTTTTAAAATTCTATCTTCCCATACTGTATAGTGTACAGCTTTTGCAAAATATTCAGAATTGCGGAAACAAAATATTTCTATATCATATAATACTCATTTAATTAAATATTTAACTAAATATTAAATATTACTCATTTAATTTAAACTTACTTAATTAAATATTACTCATTTAATTTAAATATTTCTATATCATATAATACTATTATTTTGTGAATCAAATGTTTAAACACAGTTTTTTATATAATGAAAAAGAAGAAAATAAAAAGAAAGAAAGAGGAAATACATAAAATCAAATTCTTATAGTTTGCTTGTTAAATGGAAGGATATTAATTAAAAATAAACATTTTTTAATACGCATTTAAAAGCTTTTTGTGTGGAATTTTTAAAATGTGATTTTTTTCATCAATTCGACGACATCAATGAAAAATTTCGTAACTTTAATTTAAAGAAAATTATTTGTATCTCTTTTGCAAAAAATTATAGGAACCAAATATACACTTCGATATGTATTTCGTACATCATTTGAAAACTGTATAACGAGTAAGAAGTATTTAGAAAAATATCTCTAATATAATTATCTGATAAAATCTCAGAAAATGTTGCCGAAATGTTTTTGTTTTTTTTCTTGGTATCGTCGAATCTTTGACGAATTATCGTAATTAATATTTTTAACAGACGAGAAAGAGAGAAAGCGCTTACTTTAAGTGAAGCAGCAGAGAGACACAGCGAGTATACTCGACCGCGGCCGGCATGTGACTATTGCCACCGCGTTCTCCGCGAAGGAAAGTGCTTCGCGGTTAATATCGACCACCCCCATCCATCCCCCCACTTTGGCGAGAATCGTCTTATACTTTATAACGAGCGATAGCGTCGCATATACAAGTACCTTGAGAGACACAAAATATATACCACAAAAATAAATAATTATCCCCAAACTATCTTTTCGAATAAAAGAATAAGTCTCGTAGTAAGAGAAAATTTTGCGCACGTTTTCGCGATCGATTAATTATTTTTATACTTTAACGCGTGTTAAAAGATATATTAATAGTATGTTAAAATCGATAAGAAAAAGGTAGATGTGAACGTGACATTGAAGCGATAATATTTTGTTATAGTGTTATTTGATAAAAGCACGCTTGAATGTATCGTGCCTATCTTGTAAGATCCTTTCTATAAGTGAAAATAAAGCACGTAATCCTGTATACTTGCGATGTTGAAGATTTGACGAACTCTATCCTACTTGTCCAATATTTACAACGCGTCAATCTTGCTTTACAGACTCTGATTAATCGTTTCATTATTCAGCTTAAATCAAGCTTCTCCCCTTTGGCGAATCAAGGAGAAATGTCTTTTATGTCTATAAATTTTCCCTAC